CTGTCTCTCTCTCTTCCCCTCATCTTCTCCCTCCTACTCTTCCTTCTTCTCCCCCCTCCCCTTCCACCTCTTTGTCAGCCCATGGAGACAGAAACTCAAAGCTTGAACAACAACTGTTTTTATTATGCTATGAGGCACAATCGCTTCAAGATACAAACTATCATACTCTCCCCAGAGAAAAAATGGCAGAGACTATGTTTGAAAAGTTTTCCTGCCCAGCCATGTACGTGTATTGCCAGGCAGTCCTCAACTTGTTCGCGTCTGGCCGAAACACTGGTAAGTTTAAGAAAATGTGTGGATAGCTTGTACACATTAGTTTTGCTTGCTTGCTTGCTTGTTTGTTTGCTTGCTTGCTTGCTTGCTTGCTTGCTTGTTTGTTTGTTTGCTTGTTTGTTTTGTGCATTTACGTTCATCACATCACTTTACACAAACTGTCTAAGTAGAACAACAGCTCTAACTCTGACTACTACGGTGGCGGCAAACGTTTTAGCCTGAGCTGAGGCTGTTCTAAACGAGGAGGATGTTGTTAGCAGAAGATATATTGCTGCAGTCCTGGTTGATTGCATCTAACCGTCAAGATGAATTAATATTTGTTAGTAAATATGGTTGTGAGAAATACCGTGCTTTTTATGATTGAATGGTATGATATCAATGAACGTCTCCGCTGATATTGGTAGATACAGTACACGGTTGAGATGCCCAAAACAGCCAGACATGCAGGATTAAAGCAGCTCGTCCTTGGAGGGGAAATAATGAAACGATCCAAGTACAACACATCTACGGCAGATTACTACAAAACACATAATCCCGCCCCTTTTCCAAAAAAGCTAAACCTTAAGTGGAACCAAACCTTTTTTTTTTTTTAAAGATACTGCACATATGTTTGTTTTTCTCTTGACATTTAATTTGTGTATTTTTTTCAGGAGTAGTGGTAGACTCAGGGGACGGCGTGACCCACATAGTGCCCATCACCGGCATCTACGCCATCTCTCACGCTGTGAAAAGATTGGACGTGGCCGGCAGAGACCTCACAGATTATCTGGCCAAGCTCCTGACAGAGAGGGGTTACTGCTTCAGCACAACCGCCGAGAGAGAAATCGTCCGTGACATCAAGGAAAACCTGTGCTACGTCGCCCCCGACTTTGATAAAGAGATGCAAACTGCAGAGACGTCGTATGATTTAGAGAGAAAATACGAACTTCCGGATGGTCAGGTCATCACTATTGGCAACGAGCGCTTCCGCTGTCCCGAGGCATTGTTCCGTCCGGAAATACTGGGTCTAGAAATGCCAGGTATCCATCAAGCAGTGTATGATTCGATCATGGCGTGCGACATTGACACGAGGACGCTTTTTCTCTCGAATATTCTTTTGGCTGGGGGCAACACGATGTTCCCTGCGATTCAGAACAGATTGGACAAAGAGATAAAGGCGCTCATTCCAAGAACTGTAGTGTCGAAAGTGGTTTCTCCCCCAGAACGAAAGTATTCTACCTGGATCGGGGGATCAATTGTTGCATCGTTATCAACCTTTCAGCAGGCGTGGATCACTAAACTAGAGTACGAGGAATTCGGTCCATCTGTCATGCACAGGTGCTTTTCGCTCTAGCGACAGATGTGCGGTGTGAAATCTTTATTTATTGATTTTGTTACCTGATGATCCCGAGGCGAGAGGGGGGG